GTCGAATATGTTTACAGTAGTGGTGTTGAATTGTTTGGCTGCCTGTAATGAACTTAATAAGCTAGGGGATGAAGAAACATGTGGAATATTTATATGATGTTTTCTGTTGGCGTTGTCCTGCGTGCAATACAAGGGTTTTGATTCGATGTGACATTCATCAAGGGTTCGGAAATTATTTTTATAATAATGGATGTGCGTTAAATCCCTTGTGTGCTCATTTTGTATGAATTAGACGGTATGTGTGTTATTTGGTTAGTGTATTAACCGGTTTGTGCGTTCTTTTAATGCGGAGTGTGCACCATAAGCAATAGAATTATAATGGGTGTGCCTGGAATGAAGTAGTTTGTCCCTAAAATAAGTATTATAATGGATGTGCGTGAAAGGAATGTTGTATATTAATTTGGAATGAATAAGACGGTATAGCTGTTATTTGGTTAGTGAATGGAATGGGGTGTGTGCGTTTTTTAACGACGGAGTGTGCATCTTTGGGAATAGTAATATGGTGTGTGCATTTTTTAACGACGGATTGTGCATCCTTGAGAATAATAAGGGCCAACTACGCACGAACCAGTGCCAACAAACCCTGATTACAAATATTTACATTTCTAGAGTTATAAAATGCACAACATCGAATACGTGACATAAAATAACAATGGCCAATAGTAAAAAAGGAAATTACTAAAACAAACACATGCAAAGAAATGCAAGAACCACCCCCTCCCTCCCCAAAAGCAGTATTACAGCAACATGCACACGTCAATATCCCCCCACGCACATATTATTGTGTGATATGACTTTGACCCAACACAGACCATGATGGCACGCACAAACCTAATACACAGAAAAATGCACCCACTAACTACCAACTATGCACAAACCAGTGTCAACACACCCCCCGACTATGCACAAACCAGTCTCTTTTGACAACCAAGTGCCTCATCGTTGCAACCAAGTGCTTGGGAGAAGCACGAATCTTCAAAAGCGGAAATAGTATCAAGTCGTTCGCATCTAACCCATCATCCTCCCCGTCAGAATTCGTGTCCGGTGGCGGAACAGGGGATGCTTCAACATCCTCGGAGGGCATCACATGTACAGCCTCTACCGCATCTACCGTCTCTGCAGCCGTGACACCTAGACATACCAAAAAAAAAAAAAAAAATCACTATGAGCAACAAAAGTTACCACATAACAGATAAAAACATAACCAAACTCCTGAGCACCCACTTTTCCCCCCTAACGCACAGACCAGAATCAGGATCCCAGCAGCCCAATATTACGCACTAGCTTATAACTTAAAACGCACCAACCAATTAGCAATTACAGTATTACACACAAACGTCACTCCAAGAACGCATACACTAATTGCCAGTAAAATACGAGGAACAATATTATAATAAATGAGAACATGACAAGCCAATCACGATTAAAGGTACCTTACATACCAAAAAAAAAAAACAAAAAACAAAAAACAAAATATATTCCGGATACTTAAAACAAAACCAACATTAATGAACCCAAACTTCAAATATGTCCTACAAAGCACACACACATCCACACACCACCGTACACCCGCATATTCGGATCCTAAAAATATAACATTACGCACAAGCCTAAACCGTAGAACGCATCAACGAATTACTAATTACAATAGTACGCACAAACCCCATACTAATAACGCACACAGTAATTACTACTCTCATATGCTACACAATATTTAATGTGGAATAAACATATGTAAATCACTAAAAGCTAAGGTGGATTAGATGAATGGGATACGAATTTGATGAGAATATTAAGTTTATAAAAACAAAATAAAATATAATATATGAATTTAAGAATTCAAAAAAATAACACCAATCTTACAAATACCTCAATAAAATAAATACAATTATCTAATCACCCATTTTATTAACACTTGTGATTTGTTTAGAGACTTAACGCTCAAGCCTAAAACGTAGAACGCTTGAATGAATTACTAATTACAATGTTACGCACAAGCTGAAAATGTAGAACGCACCAACCAATTAGTAATCAAAGTATTACGCACAAACGTCGCACAATGAACGCACATACTGCAAAGACCAAAGACTTTAAGGGAGAAAGCACATCATCTAAGTGGAGATGCATATGCTGGTATTAAGAGCATGGAAAAAGCACTCTCTGATACACGATCAAACCCCCACCTCCACTAAAAACAAAGAAAACCCTATTAAAACTCTAACTAACAAACCTACACACCACACACCCCCTCCTCTGCTGCAAAATCAAACCAGAACCCCATCCCCCCTCCCCCACGCCGCCACTCATAAACCAAAAAAAAAAAAAGGAAAAAAAAAACAGTAATAAACCCAAACACACAAAAAATTAACCAAAAAACACAACCAATAACGAGAACAAGGAAAAACCGAGAAGAATCATACCTTGCACATAGACGGTGACAGATTACTTTTAACGTTTGGATCTTTGAGTCGTAGAATCGTGAGCAACTGTGAAATTCGATGTCAGCGTGAAGAGCGCCGGTGGAGAAAATTGACAGAGGGGGAAGTGAATCGATAGGGGTGATGTGAAGAGACACTGGTTCGAATTCTAAAACTTGAAGTTTATTTGATACCAAAAATAACGCTGCCTCTACTACACACGCGCGCTATAATTAAGGGATCAGAATTAATAACACAAGCAAAAGACCACAATGACCCTAACTCCTTTACAAACCATCAGCACATGGGATCCGAAATCAAAAGATCAAAACCGTTAAAAAATAAAAATAAACGAACCAGATTACATCTTACCGTCTCATCAAAATATGAGTCTCATTGGATCCAATATATATATATATATATATATATATATATATATATATTATGGGGTCCTCCCAGTATAGTGGTTTTGCCACATTTAGTCCTAAACTTGTAAATTATCCACGTGTGGTCCTTCGTCGTTTAAATTGTTACCATCTGTGGTCGAAGTTAACCACACACAGTCCTTCAACTTTTGAAATTCAACCAATCGTGGTCCTCTTGCAAAGATCATGGGTGGTTAAAATTTGATAGTTGAAGGACTAATGGTGGTTAACTTGGACCACATATGGTAAAAAATTTGAAAGTCGAAGGACCACAGGTGGTCAATTTGAATGTTTTGGGCTAAACGTGCCAAAATCACTATACTCAGAAGACCACAGATGGTATTTACACTACGAGAGATGTAATATATGTACCGTTTTAAAAATTGAGGGATAATATTTACACCACTAATAATTCATGAATGACATTTATAATTGGCATATTATGGAGGGATATAAATTACAATTTTCCCAATATTAAATTTAAATCCTTAGAGCCCATGATAAAGGGATCAATGTATAATTAGGTACGCTGACTGCACACTTTATGAAGATCATTTCACAGCATTATGAGGAGATAAGAGCTCAAATTTAATAGAATGCCGAGAAATTCTATGGATGATTGATGAAAAAAGATCTTCAATATTTAAATCCACGTACTAGGTAGACTGAACTAGAAGTTCATAAAAAGTAAACTGAACTGGAAAGTTCAGAAGATAATTAATCTGTCAATATATATACTGATAAAAAGAGTGACTATGTCACATATATCTTCCCTAACTTGGACCGTATGTATCTACCAATGCTCATCGACGCCAGAAGCATAGAGACATGTCGGTATGAAAGACAAGAACCCGCGGAAAGCTAAATCTAGTAGAAAATTTCGTCACTCTTGAAATCGTTTAAAGAAGTATGTCCTGAAGACATTCGTCTAGAAGGAAAAAAATTTCAGCAAATTTATAGGTGCACCCAAAATCATAATATTGGGGATGCAAAATGACCAAATAAAAATACCTTTGAGAAATGGCTAGAGTCTGATTGAATTAGAAATTTTCATGAATTTTATATATATGGGAGAAATTTATGAAAAATGTTATAGTTGTCGATAACACAATTTTCTTTATAAATTGCTCTCGTTTTATGAGAATCTAGATCCAGAGCTAGGCACCAGTTGTGCCTTGATTTTTTTTTATGTATAAAGGAGCAATTAAGACATATACAGCTCAGCTCGCTAAAAGTGTATTCTCTTTATAACATGTACACCATTTAATGTTAACCATGTAGGTTACAAATGAGTGTTTGTACAAAAGGGAAATACAAATAATCTGGTGGTATGATATAAAGCGAGACTGTTAGCTTAAGGGTTTACATAGATTTTGATCAAATGTTCTCTCCCACAACATATGCCATTATTTTTCGCTAATTAACATCATTGGCAGTGAATTATAAATTTAGATATTCAGTTCATGAACGTCATGACTGCAAACTTATGGGTCATTAGATGTTAATATTTATTTGTAATTCCCCGATGGATTCAACACTTTTTGAAATGAGGAAAGTGAAAATCGCAACGTTTATCATTAAATTACAAAAGTCTTTGTATGACTTGAATATTATTGACTGAGTGTTTTTCCTCTAGAAGAAAGAATATGCAAATAATATGTACCATTATGTATTCGTTAAAGAATTGTTAATAGAGTTATTTATTTATTATCTAAGTTGATATTGATCATTTAAATGTTATTGAAACACAGAGAGCTTGGTGATATTAGCTCATGTCGAAAGACGGAGTTTTGAAATAAAAAAAAAAAAAAAAAAAAAAAAACCCAAGTATTGTCTCGACCTGAAGATCGAGCTTCTCCTTGAAGAAGTTTTATACACCAGTTAGCCTACTTGAAAAAATGTCTTGAAGATGTTTTATATGGATAAGTTTCATTTACTTATCACACTAATGGTTGTCCAATAATCACTTGAAGTCGATAAGAGACCATTTAGAAGATGATAATGGGGATATTTTGGGACTAGAAGTCAAGTACTTCGTTGTTGTTGGAGCACTATTATAGAACTAGAAGTTCCATAGTCGCACCAGGCTTGATATTAAATTGCTAGCAATGTTTAGTGCCCCCCTCCCATACAATGAAATATTGGAATGGTGTTTAACATATCCTCCAGCATTTTCGAGTAATATGTTCATAAAATTGTGATGCATAGGCTTAGAAGCTTGTTGTCTTCAAGGGGACGAATAGACTTGAAAGATTGTTATCTTCAGGTTGAGTGACAACTCCTAGCTGCACTGATGGACAATCTAGAAGACTTTTGAAATCTTGAAGATTATACTCCGAAAGCATATGGTTGTACTATTTTTCCCTTAGCTAAGTTTTTCCCGCTGAGTTTTTTTAGGTTAAGGTTTTTAATGAGGCAACCGATGTAGGTGCACTTGAGTGGAAAGTCTTGAAGACCCTTAAAATCTTGAAGATTATGCTCTGAAGGCATATAGTTGCACTCTTAATTATTTTTCCCTTAGCTAAGTTTTTTCTCACTAGGTTTTCTTAGACTAAGGTTTTTAATGAGGCAACCGGTGCAACACATGGTTCAACATACTTCGTTTACTCTTTTCCTCGTCTAGGTTTTTCCCACTGGGTTTTTCTACCAAGGTTTTTAACGAGACATGAATGTGATTAAATAATGGCCAAGGGAGAGTGTTATAAATATTTATCATAATGGTCATTATTTCTTCAATCTCTTCATCTTCCCTATTAATGTTATATGTTATAGAAAGTAAATGATTGTATGGATTGTATATATATACATGTTGATGGATGAATAAGATGAGCTTTTGAAGTTCCTAGATCTTGTGTTCTAGTTTTCTCTCTACTCTTCCATTCCATTTTAATTGCAATCTTGTTCATACGTATAATTGACACGTTACCGTACAACAATCTCGATAGACTGGGCTAACGGAAGGCCAAATTAAAACACGATTGAAATTTTTTTATCTAACATTTAGATTTTTTTTTTTCAATTTCCCTCAATTTATTGTACATTTATTTTATGGATGGATTTTTGTACATTTATTATTTTGTAGGGGCATATAAATCTTTATACATGTTATTCTTTAGAATTTCGAATCCAACCAAACCGAATCAATATTCCCAGTAATTTGTTTCCACCAACCAAACAATAAAATTCATATTCTTAATAATTACTTTGTCATAGAATTTTAATTTCATTCCCTATAAAATATTTTTCGTGAACCAAATGGATAAAATATTCAATTGATGAACATACTTGGTTGTCATACCCTCCCCTCCTCCGCCTAAACAGTTTGCAAACAGCTGCAAGGAATCACAGAGCTTCTATAATGGCAATTAACACTCATCATATAAACACCAACCAAAGCTACAACCTTGTAAAACCACATTCAAGAGATCTGTTCAATTAAAAGTTCAATAAAATTAGTAGCAGAAAATCATTACATGTTGAAATCTTAAAACTGCAATTCTGTGCACAGTATTGTTGATTCACAGTTGAAACTTGAAACTGCAGTTCCTCCCCCATCTCTCCCTAAAAAAATGAAATCTTTCTCTAATTCATTACAATTTGCAAACCTAATCATGTAATCACACATAAAAAAATATCCCAGTCATGCAAATTCCACATCAAAATCCAGAGTAAAATGATCTAAATGCTAATTGTTTTATACGTACAGATGAAATTGAAACAGAAGAAAGCATATACATAGTGGTGCCAGAAGGAAAGAAATTAAATAAAATCCATATTTGCATAAACTAACTGACCAACAAGGAAGAGCCACACAACCAAAGAGTCTTAATTGCTTTCAAATGTGGTGCCAACCATCTTGATTCAACCCCATCATGCACACAATTATAAACACACAACCTTTCAAGTTTTGAAGAGCTAATAATCTCAAATTTATTAATCCCTCCACAATCTTCTAAAACCAGCTTCTCAAGGTTAGGGATACTAATACTAACAGTGCACCTAAATTCAACACCCCCCAAAGATAATGAAGTGATATTGGAAAATATACCACCAACACTATTTACTGGCAAATCAATAATGAAGGTACCATCGACTCTTAGGTACTTAATTGTCCGGCACGAGAGTATACAAAATGGCAGCTTATATTCAGCCTCTCCACAATTTAAAAAACATATGAAAAGCTCCTCCACACCATTTCTTGATAGAAAAACACACCACCTATTGAAATCAGACTGCCGCAACTCAGGATAATACTTTTCTATCACTAAACTAAATTTCTTAACCGGCCCAGCACAGGAAAGGAGAATATTATTTATAATGTCAACGAGGGTTTTGCCTCCATCATCGTGACCCTGTTGGACACTATCTGAGAACTCAAGCCTCTCATGCTGCAACCAAACATGATTCCAGTGTGTTGAGAGTAGAGCAGTACTGGCAGCGTCTCGGGTGGGCAAACACTCCAAAATTCTGTGCTTTAACTCTTCCGGCAGAGGACTTATGAAATCCCTACTTGCATCTGCTAAGCTGGTTTCGATTAGCCCACGTCCAGCCATTAAATTGATGTGTCACTCCAAATCAAAACCTAAAATGCTTCTATTCTACAACTACAAGATTTCGTATTTCGTAAATGAAAGGAAATTAGGAAGGGTTGGTTTGGCCGCAATACTTCTTCGTGAATCTCCAAACAAAAATTTGGTTTATAATGCTACAGCAGCAGCAGGTATAGTAAGCAATATTGGGGGAAAAGTGAGCCCCCGTTGCGGGTTACTGTAGCAAGCTGAAGCATGAAGGGAACTGGAATGCTATTCATCTTGAAGGGTTTAATTTAAAGGAACATATTACTATTAATTACTACGGAGTACTAATGACTTAATATCCAATATAGTCCTGGATTATAGTAGTTTTACTTAATTTAATCTTAAATAATTTTTTATGTTTAATTTAGTCATTGACTTTGATGATTTTACACAATTTAGTCTTTTGTTAAAAATTTTGTTAGTTGACTGTTAGAACCTCATTTCTAACGGTCAACTAACAGAATTTGTAACTAAAGACTAAATTGTGTAAAACCATCAAAGTCATGACTAAGGCTCTGTTTGACAAACCTAGCTGAAAAGCTATAAGCTAGGAGCTGAAAGCTGAAAAGGAGCTAAAAGCTGAAAAGGAGTTGAAAGCTGAAAAGCTATAAGCTCAGAGCTGAAAACTGAAGAGCTATTATGATTGAAAGTATTTGGTAAAATTAGCTTTTTGAGAAGTTGATAAATGTAAAAAGATTAAAAAGGACATCTTTATAAAATTTAAACTAGTTTGTTTACATATTAAGATTTAACATTTTGTCTTTTTAAAAAATTAACATTTTTTGGAAGGTTAAATTATGTCATTTCTTTAAAATAATAAGGATAAAGATGAAAAAAAAAAAAAAAAAGTTAGGAAACTAGGAGCTTATTTTGAAACGCTACCTTAGGTAGCGTTTCAAAATAAGCTCCTATTTTAAGCTAGGAGCTTATTTTGGGAACATTACCAAATAGAGCTTATAGTTTATTAGTAGCTTAAAATAAGCTATAAGCTCCTAAATAAGCTCTGTCAAACAGAGCCTTAAATTGAGCACAAAAAGTCATTTAGGACTAAACTGAGTAAAACCACTATTGTCGAGAACTATATTAGGGCAAGGCGGTGAGCAAAACTAGACCGGGTGACTTGGCTCTTCCCTCCATTTGATCCTTCAAGTTGCGTATCTCTTGTGCCAGGTAAGCCACCTCATCGGGATTTTCTGTGCGATTTCCCGTCGACTCAGTACTTTCTCCTTCTTGGGACTCGGCTTGACGCTTGTCCTCCGCTGCTCGTTTCCTAGTTCGCCGACTTTGAGTCTTAGTCAGCCGCGTGCGAGTTACTCTTTCTTCACGGGCCCCCCTTGTCTTGCCGACTGGGCCAAACTCGGCTGGGCACCTTTTCGCCTAACCGTTCTCGTGCGGAGCGCCGAGTGGCGCCTGGGCCCAGCCTCGAATGCACAGACCGGGCTCGCTGACTACCTTGTCCTCGGTTCTCCCGCTCTCCACAATCGTGCATACTCATTCGACTGGTTTGGATGCGATGGAGGCAGCCGTCAAGCTGAGGGCAGTGCAGAAGCTTAGACGAGAAACGCATTTTCATGGTATATACGGTTCAGAGACACAAATTCCACATGCGTCTGCTTAGACGAGAAACGCATTTTCATGGTATATACGGTTCAGAGACACAAATTCCACATGCGTCTCTGATATAATACCTCATACGCAAAAAGTACCACATCTATGATTAATTTCAGGGAAAAAAATTATTTTCCTCAAACGCATGTTCCACATGCATTTCTGGCTCAAAAACACATGTCCCAAATAATCTTTTCCTAAAATAATTCACTTCTCAAAAGTGTCCCGTTATTGTCAACAAATTATAATTCCTTCATATTTCAGTCTTTGCCCCCATTAGATATGCCTTAAGAAGAGATGGCGTGTTAAAGGATAAGTCATCAGCTAGTGTTGTCCTAGGTTGCTCATGTGCATTATATGTATTTTGTAGTTCTGTTTTGCTTATTCTATTTGAATATTTAATTTATAGGGTGAACTAGTTGTTGTAGCATCTCCGATATAATGCTACTCTAGTCTAGTTTTATATAAGGGGATTAGTGAGTTAATAATATAGGGAATAAATTACCTCCAGGAGTATATTTATCATATGCTTTAATTTCAGTAAATTTAACATTAGAAAAAATATTTTGTAAAACATATTTCATATCAGATGACTGAAAATTCGTCATTAATTTAATTAACATGAAAAATAAAATAAAAAAAATCTGTAAAACATAATTCATATCCGATGACTGAAAAATCGTCATGTTCCATTTCGTTACTAGCTTAGGGAGTACAACTTTGTCCAGAATGCAGGTTTCTTCAATTCATATGTATATCCTTAATTTCATTCAATTCCTATCTCATTTAAGACATTATATATACTCTCCTGTCTCAGCTTGCACCTATATATGTATCCATGCATGCATATATATATATATATGGTTTCCTTTGATTTGCCCCATAATCCAAAGCTGAGAGATCGATGAACGTTAACGTTGGCGCAGAGATTTGAGCTTCCTTATCTAAAATTCACTCACTTCACCTTCTTGGCAATTCCCCACCCACAAGTACAGATTTCTGGCGTTCTGTCTCGATGGCAACACTCTACAACAGTCTCTCCTCGGTGACTGCAACAATATTCAAAACATAATAATGTACTTAGCTAATAGCAATGGAGATCATAAGTGTTGAGAGAAACCCGCGATCACCATCTTAAGATATGCACGGATTGGGCTAAATCCGTTTTGAAATCTTAGTTCACAAAGAACAAGAAGGATGTAAACTTGCCTAGATTACTTATAACTAATTAGCTCAAACTAAGAAGCTAAGCTAGTAGGCTGCTTTGCTAGAAGCCTAGAAGTTAAACTTCTGAATTTGTGGTTATTAAGTTAAACCAATTTGGTTGGAGTTGTCTCTATCATATATGAAAGGCAAAATTCTCTTGCCCTGGCCTCAAGACCCTGCAACAAATTTTTCAATGAATCATGCATGGTCCACACATCTTTAAAAGATACATTTTTAATATTAAAAATGTACCTCTTACTCGTGATCTACACGGCTGTGTGAACCATGGTTCATTGAATAATGATTACCCCACACCCCGACTTGACTAGATAGCAGAGACAAAAATTAGAGTGATGACTCAACTGCCCAATAGGTGAGAAGACGAATATAAAGAGTTCATTACACCCCAACCCGACTAGACATTAGTGGAGGGAAAAATTAGGGCGATTCAAGTGCCCAATAAGTGAAAAGACAAATAGGTGCGGGCCCATAAAGAGTCCATTACATTACATTAGGTATATATAACTCCAATCATTATTGTATGGACCATGGTTCACACAACTTGTGTGAACCATATTTTGTATATTGTAAAATAATGTACATTTAATACAAAAATAATATACATTCAGTACAAAAATAATATACATTGTATTCGGGGATGTACATTATTTTTGTACTGAGTGTACATTATATTGTATAATGTACATTCAGTACAAAAATAATGTACATTTAGTATATTAAAAATGCACTTTTTGTTATGGTCCACATAACGCTGTGTGAATCATGGTCCACACAATAATTTGCCATATAACTCTGCAAAATTAAAGCAGAGGGCCGGAATTGAAGTTGAATTGACTTACCCTTTCCCATCGGCCAGTGTCAGGCTGTTTCAAGACGACAATGGAGTCGATATTTTCCGGCGATTCGGCCCTCCAGCGGCAATAAGGGTAGGGCTCCCGGTGACGATAGTAAATCCCGATGATCTGATTCCTACTCCGGTCGAGCCTGACCTTGTTGACGTAGTAAATGAAGGGCTTCTGGCAAGGGTGCTTGGTGACAGGCCTGGTGTTAAACGCATAGGCCATATAATCAGCCCTTTTGTACCAGTTCAAGAAGGTCCTGGTGGGCATTTCCAGCTCCCTGGGAGAAATCATCCCTCTTATCACCTGAATCACGTAGCCCCACGACACGGATATGGACCAGTACCTCTGCTTGTCGTAGCAGATGGACTGCTGCATTACGCTGCCGGAGTCCAGTTTCACCGACTCCGATAGTTGCCGGAGGCTTTCCACTCTGCTCATCTCCGGGAAGATGGGCGCCACCACGTCCAGGTGGTGGACCGACACTAATGGTGACACCGGGTGGGCTCCCAGTAGCCCCAGTAAGTTGCCGTACACATCATACTGCAATATATATATATACATATATAATTTCTCAATCATATCATCTTCATGTTACTAAATAATATAAGCTATTTAGCTCTATGCATGCATGCATGGAAGAGATCAGAGTAGGAATCTTAATTAGCTCATC